CACACACACACACACACACACACACACACACACACACGGTGCCACTCAGCGTGGCGTGATAGGGTCATTCCCCCCATCCTAGGATCTCCTACGTGGACAATCAAGTCATTGACAAATAGGGGCCGTATCATTTTTTCCTTTCCAAGCCAATGCCCGTAATTTCCTTTTCTTGTCTTATTGCTGTGGCTAGCGAGCCTCTGGCCCAGTTGAGTAAGGGTTGGTGAGAGGGGCTCCCCTGCCTTGTCCCCGATCAACGCAGGGCCCGCTCACTGCAGCCGTGTCTCGTCCGCTCCACAGAAAACGGCCCGATGTGGTGACGACCACGGACTGGCTGGCCCCTATCCTCTGGGAAGGCACCTTTGACAGGCAGGTCCTGCAGAGACACTACCAGAGGCAGAACCTCACCGTGGGCCTGGCCGTCTTTGCCTCCGGCAGGTAGGGCCCACTCACCGTTGCCCTTTTCCACGTAAAATCCAAGGAGCACAGCACCCACGGCCCTTCTGCCTTCAGAGAGGGGCTCGTGATTCCCGCAACCACCATTCCTGGGGCCCAGGCCATGGCCCTCTCCTTCCACTGGGTTGTTACCTTTTTTTAAAAAAATCCTCACCTGAGGATATTTTTTTGACATTGATTTTTTTAGAGAGACTGGAAGGGAGGGAGAGAAACACGGATGTGAGAGGGACACACTGATTGGTTGCCTCCTGCACGCACCCCGACGGGGGCCTGGGATCGAACCTGCAACCCAGGTATGTGCCCTTGACTGAGAATTGAACCCATGACCTCTTGGTGCACGAGACGAAGCCCAATCCACTGAGACGCACCGGCTGGGCTGGGTCATTAACTTTTTACTGACATCCATTTAGCACTAGTTCCTCTCTCCAACTGTTGTCCCCAAACTCTGAAGGCTCCTCTGCGACCTGCAGCTTAACCCTCCACCCCCAACCCCACCTGCCCCTCCACCTGTACCTGCCCCGCGTCCCAAAACGCGGGTGACTCATGAGCTCAACAACCTGCGTGACGGAGCGTGTGCCCCGGGAAATCTGTCTCCCTGCGCTCGCTTCTTGCAGGGCCATCGACCAGTACCTGGAGCTCTTCCTACGGTCGGCCAACAAGCACTTCATGACTGGGTACCCGGTGGTCATCTATGTCCTGGTGGACCGCTGGTTCCAGCTGCCCTACCTGCAGCCCATCCCCCTCCGCACGTTCCGGGTGTTGAACTTCAGGCCCGACCGCTTGTGGCCGGACCTGAACCTCCTGCGCATGAAGACCTTGGGCGACTACATCGTGAGCCACATCAAGGCAGAGGTGGACTTCCTCTTCAGCATGAGCGTGGACCAGGTCTTCCAGAGCGACATGGGGGTGGAGGCCCTGGGCACGGTCGTGGCCCAGCTCCACCCCTGGTGGTACTTCCAGCACAAGAAGAACTTCCCCTACGAGAGGAGGCCCAGCTCCGCCGCCTGCATCCCCATGGGGGAGGGGGATTTCTTTTACGACGGGGCGCTTGTGGGGGGCACGCCCCTGCAGGTCCTGGACCTGGTGCAGTCCTATCTGGGGGGCATGCTCCACGACATCAAGCAGGGGCTGAACACCACCTACGAAAGCCACCTGAACAAATACTTATTCCTGCACAAGCCCACCAGGCTGCTGTCGCCCGAATACAACTGGGACGCCGCGTTCCACCCGCCCATGCAGATTCAGTACGTGAAGGTGCTGCAGCTCGCCAAGAGGGGCCTGTGACCGCCAGCCCCAAGCCCGGCGGCCGCCTGGGCGCATGCCCGCGGCCCAGGACACCGCCAGCTGCCCGGTCCTCAGAGAAACGCGCACCCGGCCAGCGGGAACCGTCCTCCTCGCGATGTTCCGCCATCCCCTTGGGCCAAAGCCAGATAAAGAATACAACAGGGATGTTTTCACGGTTAACGCACCACGGTGGTCTGTATGTCGCGGGCAGCCTTGATCTCACAGAGAGGGAAGGGGAGGGAGAGCGAGAAACATCGATGTGAGACAGACACACGGACTGGTTGCCTCCTGCATGCACCCCAAGCGGGCGGGGAGCGAACCCGCAACCCAGGTGCCTGCCCTTGACCGGGAATGAAACCCGAGACCCCTCAGTGCGCAGGGCGAACACACTAACCACCGGGCCACCCAGGCCAGGGCAATGGCATTTCTTTAACCAGCTCAAAAGTACTTGAAGTGAGGAGGGAGACACGGCAGCTGGAGCCCTGGGGCGGCTCAGGACAGCAAGCGGTTAGAGCCCTTACGGGGGCTGAAGGGTCCGAAGTCACAACAAGCTGCCCTTCTTAACCCCCTTTTATGGCATGAAACACAGTGTGTAGCCTGAATGTGTTCCCCCAAATTCATACATGGCAGCCCTAAGCCCCAGGACCTCAGGATGTGACCCCACTTGGAGATGGGGTATTTACAGAGGTGACTAAGGTAAAATGAGGTCACCGGGGTGGGCCCTGGTCCAGTAGGAATGGGGACCTTATAAGACGGGATGTAGACACAGACTCACCGAGGGATGACCCTGTGAGGACACCGGGAGGAGAGGGCGTCACCACGCCGAGGGGGAGGCCACGGGAGGAGCCAGCCCCGTCCACACCTGGACGGCGGACATCCAGCCTCCAGGACGGAGTGAGCCTCAGGTTGAAGCCGAGGTCCCTGCGCTTTTCCAGGTTGGCTGGAGCTGACTCATAAGTAAACATTCCAGATGTCGGTTAAGACACTAAGATCGTAAGGGACTTCGGTGGTCACTACGAAATAGGAGCTAGGGTCCGAGGACAGTCAGGGAACCTATAGGAAGCCTCCCAGGAAAGCTCACTGGGTCCTGGTCCCGGGCTTTTACCTGGAGGACCTATTGAATATTCATGAGCTTTCCAGGTGCGCCCCCTCGGGGTGATTGGTGGGGCCAGGACAGGGGGTCATTAGTCAACGCAGCTGGTGCTGAGGCAGCCAGGGCCTCTCTCAGCCTGGTTTTGCTGCTTTTCTGGGCCTGGAGCTGAGACACAGCTGAGGCCTAGATGCCGTCTCCTGGGGTTAATGCTTAAGGGAGTGGCCGGGCTCGGCCTGAGGTGGTGCCTGTGGCTAGGCGCCCGAGGCTCTGAGTCCTGGTGACCCTCTGCAGCCGCCCACGGTCCCCGCTCTGCCCTAACTGCCCACCTCAGGTCCGTTTGCATGACTCCCCCCTCAAACACGCCAAAACCTTTATTCCTTCATGTGGCTGTTAGGTCGGGTTTGCAGTCTGGGGAAAGCATCCTTTTGGAAAATTGGTTGGATTGCTTCAAATGCACAGGTTAATTAGAGGATTATTAAATGTTCTCGATGCCGAAGACCACGCAGGAACATCACCTCTCTCTTTATTCAAGTCACCTTTTCCGTGACCCAGAGTAAGGACGTAAAAAGAGTCTCCGTGTAAATCCCGGGATCCCCACTGTCCGGAGGAGCCTGAGCTCTGCCATTAAACTTGTCCCTGTGCTTTCTTCGTGGGTTTGTTGGTTCCGAGGAGGCTGCCGTGCTCTGAGCAGCGGCTCATCCTGGCTCTGGGTCAGCTGCAGGTGAAACACGTGCAGGTGGCCACCCTGCTGACCTCCCGGGAGGCCTGGACTGAGGGTGCTTCCAGAGCAGGAGCTGGTCGTTCCTGTCTCCCCGGCATTTCCAGGCTTAAGCACTGAGGCCCCGACCCAGATTCCTGAGAGCCTGCCCGGCTGGTGGGTGGCCCCTGGCTCCTCTTGGCAAGAGGTGGGCACACTCCATCCAGGTACTGCCCTTGGAGGGCTCCTGACTCTCAGGAGAGGGCGGTGACCTGTCTCAGCTCACCTGCGTGCAGACGTGAGGGCCTGTGTTTACCTTGCTGTTCGGGGGAATGTGGTAATTCAATGTCCCTCTGACCTGAGTGGAGACCGAACCAGAGCAGGACCCAGGTGGAAGCAGTTCAGAGGGGTGCCAGCTGGGCCCTCACAGGGTCACCATCACCCCACAGGGTCTCCGTGGCTTGGTCCGCTGGACTGCAATGCGGTGCTCCAGACCACCCAGTGTTCTCAAGCCCATGGGCCTGGCTAGAAGAGGCTGTGGCTCCTCAGTCATTGGTTGGCAGGACCTGGTGACCCACAGTGAGGGACAGGCCAGGAAAGGGACAAGGAGGCCCAGACTGGAAGGGCTCTTCAGATAGTAGAAGGCACCTGGGCTAGTGGGAGAGGGAGGCAGGAAGGCTCGGGGGTGGGCTCTGACCTAAGCTTCAGGTGGGGGGCACTGGGCTGTGGAGGGAAAAGAACAGGTGGGCATCTTAACGGGCTCATTCATTCACCTTGACTTGATCAATCCATCAGTCACACAGGGCACACAACCTTTGTCCCTCACAGATCGCCTTGCGGTCCACTGTCCAGCACCCCTGATAGCAGGCCCTCGAAACACAGCCGCCATGATTGTGACTCACCCACAAGACACTCCCGCCCCAACTCCACTGCTCCTGCCACAAGCCCACACAGTTCCCTCCTCAGGCAGCCTCCAATACATATCCCTCCCTCCTGTCTTGACCCTATAGAAACACTGAGGGTCAAGAATGTCAGAAAAACACATCTCTAAAAAATTGACAAGAGAATTAGTGTCCCCAAGCAACCTACAAAAGGGATGTAGAATGAGTCTCTCTTGTTCCACAACCAACCCTAACCCTAACCCTAAGCCTAACCCTAACACAAACATTAACACTAAACCTAACACTAGAGCTAACCTTAATCCTAACCCTAACCCAAATATTAAGCCTAACCCTAACTCTAAACCTAACCCTAACCCTAACCCTAACCCTAACCCTAATCCTAACCCTAGCCCTAACACTAACCCTAACCCAAGCCCTAACCCTAACCCTAACCATAACCCTAGCCCTAACCCTAACCCTAACCCTANCCCTAACCCTAAACCTAACCCTAACCCTAACCCTAACCCTAATCCTAACCCTAGCCCTAACATNAAGCCCTAACCCTAACCCTAACCATAACCCTAGCCCTAACCCTAACCCTAACCCTAACCCTAGCCCTAAGCCTAACCCTAGCCCTAAACCTAACCCTAACCCTAACCCTAACCCTAAGCCTAGCCCTAAACCTAAACCTAACCCTAACCCTA